ATATATATACAGCAAAATGTCACATAGAAACATGACGACAGAAGTAAAAATTTCAATCTGAATGCAATTTTCAGAATTATTTTACTTTTACGACGTGTCACATTGATAGCAGAATATTTTCCACTTCTACGTTCCGCATTTTTGGATAGTAGAATCGAAAAACGATCTAAAAAAACTCTACTGGTATTCTAAGTTGCAATTATTTGAATTTCCCCGAAATTTCTTCGTCTCGAACGTCAACATCAATACTGTAAAATTAATATTCCGGGATCTTTATCGCATAAGTTGAATAACGTAATTACTGTATAATGAGCTCGTCTGGTGCCTGCGAGGGTACGCCACGATATCCGTCGAGACAGATTGCGCAAGTACGTCCCAGTATCCAAGCAGATGCGGCTCACGTACTGACGGCTGTGCCGTCATCGTAGATTTAAGCGCTATGCGCCGCCGCGCCGTGTGATTCAGAACGTTATTTAAAATATGAGGAGCGGGGTATGTGTGCTGTGCATCGTGTCAACGATGCGTCAGAGCGTGACGGAATCTCCAACATATTTCTCCTGGGATGCTGCGTGACCGTTCGCTCTCCGCGCCGCCGACTTTTCTTCTTTCCCCGCGATTTCCGAGGGGAAACGTCGCGTCGTTGAAATCAATTTTAAACGCGTGTCGCGCGACACGTATTACAAATTACCAGCGCAAGGATGAGAAACTCGCGCGCGCTATCCCCGCGCGCGCAGACTCGCTTTCCCAAATTAACAATTATGGGAACGTGAGACGTAGATCCTTAACGCTGCGCACACGTTTGCGTTCTCTCCGCCGAAGCTTTTCACCGCGCCGTATGGGTATTGGCCTTTACGCTTCTGAGATCCGCGTAAAGCGAGAAGGGATCGACACGTTTGGCCGGTTGTCACGTATATATATCGCGGTACCTCAGCTATTTATTATCCGACAGATCAAGACATATATGTGACACGTGCCTGGGTCTATCGACTGATGAATAAGTAAAGAGCCGGGTGAATTAGGGACTTGAGTCAGATAAATATCAACTCAAGTCGTTAATCTATTATTCATGATCACCGGCAACGAGCAATTTTTTCACATAAAACAGACATTAAGGGCAGATAATAGACAATTCATACTAATAGATTGAGTACTTAAACCATTAATATATCGATTTTTATATTTTCAAAAAAATGTATTTTATCGCTCCTAAGAATGATTTACGATCATGAGCAGAATCGGAATAATATTTAATTTAATTTAATTGAAATAATTGTCCGAAGTAAAGGTAAGTTCGTGAAAAGTCTCCGCCCGTTTTCAATCGCTTACGACTGAAAGAAAAAAAAATATATTGTTGCTTTGACGTTATTAACGAGGAAAAATTCGATGTCCGAATCGCTTTGAGAATTTCGCCACGGCGAAGATTAAGTAGCGTTCCAGCTACTTTTTATTGCAACCTAGTGCAATGCGATCTTTATGGCCAAGACTGACATATAGGGTTCGCGTAATTTTCGAATTCCTTACGCGGAAAGCGCGAAATAAAGATTACATCGGTGCGGCGGATGGCGACGATAATCGCGCACTTCCTAACGGGGAGGCATGTTTTCGCGGACGCAGCGGACAGTAAGTACGGTAGTTTCGCGAGAGGGGAGAGATTTCCGGACTCCTTTCGATGAGTGTGCACGGTGCCAGCGTACCGTTGCCGCTGGGAAAACGTCTGTCGCGCGACAACAATGCCGGGCCGTGTCGATCGCGCTCGATTACTTTGAGTTCTCTTTCTTTGCCTTTTGCTCTCAGAAGACGGTGAGCCGAATCGCGTCGTCTCACACGCGCGTTTAGTCGCGATTTCTATACATATTATACGCGTACGAACGCAATCGCATGATGTCGATGCTCGTGATCGGTGATTACTAATTTCGAGGCAATATCGGAAGATGATCGACTTCGTAATTAAATAAGCGAGCTAATTGAGCAACTAAGATAACGCAATAATTTCCTGATAATAAAAAATTACTAGTTATTATAAAATTTTGAAAATATATTGAAAGAGATTAAAAATAGAATAATTTTTAATAATTCGTTTAGTAATTTTGCAAAATTATTAAGAAAATAGCAGTTATTAATTTCATCATTAACATCATTCTATTACTCCACTATTTAAAAATTTTAATTATTTCTCAATTAAATTTCAGTATTTAATTGTACAAAAATAAAAATTAATAACTATAATTTTTTAGTCTACTTTTAGTCTACAAAAATTTTTGCTAATAGTGTTTTCAAAAGAGATGAAATGGGTTTTGAAAATACAGGGATCAATATATTAATTAACGTACTTAACCCATCGATTATTAATAAATCATATACTCTTAATGTCTATTTCTGAAAGAATCGCTTGTCGCAGATGGTCATAACTAATAGATTAACGACTTGAATTGATTTATCTGACTCAAGTCCCTAATTCACCCGAATCTTCAATTATTCATTAATCGATAAAATTAATAATTATAATTTTAGTGTAATTTTACAAGGACTTTTGCTATGCAGTAGCGTTTTCAAAAACCTTTGTTTCTTAGTACCAGACAGACTATTGGATAGATCTTTTAAAAGTAACTACTAGATAGATACTTTATCCACTATTCTTTATTTACGCTTGACAGTCAATTGATTGCGGGTGATCCGCGACTTACCGAGGAGAATTTGTACGAAGGCGATCGATCGGGCTAATATTCTTCTCGAGGTCCTCCTCCTCAGAGGCACTATGAATCACTGTGAATCACTGAGTCACCAACTGAGAGACGCGGGGTTCAGTCGCGACGAAAAATCAATCGAAGGGAAAACGTCTCGGGGAATATAGACGACGGGAGAGAGACGGCCGACCGTGCAGACGGGTAACGAGCGAGTGAGAGAATGATCGGAGGAGCCGCGAAGCTTTGCCGGTCGGCCTGCTCGCCCGAGGACGAGGGAAAAGGCGAGCACCGAGTCTGCGTTACATTCGACAGACCACCCTTCGACATTCAGTGAGGCGAAAAGAAAAACACAAGAGCCGATAGCGAGTAGAAGACGTCCGCAATGTCATCGAGACAGTGCCTTGCATTAAGGCGAGATCGATGATTCAATTACGAGTTCATGTCGCAAAATGAAATACGCGAGATTCGGGAAAAGACTTATCGACTTTATTGCTCTCGTCCGGTTGAAGATTGCTGGTACTCGGAAAAATGTCGTTTGCAATAAACATCAGCATCGGGTCTATGTAATTCCGTCTGTTCCAGCCTATCCGAAATGTACCGAGTGTATTCAGAACATATTTCCTTTCAATTGTGGATCCTCCGATCAATTTCAAATAGACTTTTCTTTTCCGAGAATATTGAGGCATTTTAGTTATTCATAAATTCATAATTCACGCAAGTGGTATCGATGCTTGAATATTTTGTTAAGATAAAGCTCAAAAGAATCACAAGGAAGACTTATATTTATGAGGTATACCTTATATGGAATACCTTATATGGAATACCTTATGTGGAATACCTTATATTAGGTCATCCCATAAGTAATGCGGTTATTTAGATATTTTTAAAATAAGACAAAAAAATTGACATTTTAATTTTAATCCAAAATATATTTTCCATTATTATTTACAACTTCTTCACATCTCTTAATCTTAAACTTTCAATTCCCTGGCGATAAAAGTTTTTCGGTTTTGAGCTGAAAAATATATCAAGTTTCCTATTATACTTCATTATTTATATAAGAATGACTCAATATGACTTATTGTCGTTTAAAATGCATTTATATAACTAGTGACCTAGTGTTATCATATAACTGCTCATATCGTACATTTATAAATAAATAAACTTGAATACTATCGGCATTATTTCCTCTGAAAATAATAAAAATAAAAAACAGCTCATGTCATGCAGCTGCATTTGCACGAAATTGTGATAATTTCTCGTTCACCTGCTGCTTCAGCTGCTCCTATCTCTTCCCGCTTTCCCATCTCTGGTTGTAAAAAAAAGTAGCTCAACTTACACGAGAAAAGAATCGACCGCCGGCCAATTTGCGTTAACAATGGAACTGTCGAATTTGCTCGTTATCTCATCGTAACTCGATCCCTCGTGAATTTCGTGGAAAAGTATCGTCAGAAAGATTGACCGATCGGTCGCCGGAGAGCGCGTCGCACAAAACGCTACGCAAATTTTGTGTCGCGTCCGTTCCGGAAATCGAGGAAACAGAGCATAACAAGTAAAGGCCACGAATATAGAGAGAGAAAGAGAGAGACTGGATTACAAAGAGATTCGTCTTTTCTAGCACAAATTCCCCGACGAAACGACATCGTTTCCCCTACTTTCTCGAATATCGCAGTATCGTTTTGGCGCTAACGGCGCTACAAGCGACGATGAAAATGATTCGGCTTGGATTTCCTACGAAGAGCACGCGCTTATCGGGTAAAGTACTTACGTCGTGCCGATCAATATACATCGAATACGTGCGCGCCGTGTACTTATTCGAACGGCGATGTTCGCAGGATTTTCTCCTCGTTATTTTTCAGTAAGAAGTTTCTTTCGTACGAAATCTGCTGCCTCGCGATCTCCTAAGAGTTTATCCGTGAAAAGTTACCGCGATTCGCGAAAGAGATTCACAGTTCCTTAAGTTTGATAAATTATAGAGAATAATTAGTGGCGCTTTGAAGAAAGTTCTTCTTTTCAACGTTTTCATCAGCACCTCAAAGACCGCTTAAAAAGCGTGAAACTTTAGTTTAAAAAGCCTGAGGCGTGCTTTTAAATCCTCACTGGTCGATCATATTAAAAATTAGATAACTAAATTAAGTGCTCGAATAAGTAATATTCTTGGTAAAAGCGAGAGAAAGAAAAAGAATATGTATTAATACACCTTCGAGTGTTGCCGAACGTAGTGCACAACGCAGTTTACTTAGGATTTTTATGATTAGCAGTTTACTTAAAGACTTTTATTAATTACCGAGTCAAGTAAAAATATATTGTACTTACAAGGATTCTGCAGCACCTGCCGGTAGACGCGAAGCGCCGCGGTTCTCTGGTCAACGTAATCCCACAATCCGTCGCAGGCGATTATGAGAAAATCCTCGGTACCGTCCAGATGTACGCATCGGACCTCGGGCTCGCCGCTGATGTACGGTTTATACGGGACATCGCCTGGAAAAAGAAAGGAAAAGAAATGAAAGAACGAGACCGCTCCGCTGTTAAGAGGCACGCGCTCGCCGGAGGCTTGCTATAGGCGCGAACGCGAAAAGCGGAAAGGAATGTTCAGCTCCGAAAGTATGCGATTATAAGATTGGAGCGGAGGCAACTGTTACGGTTTATCCATTGGTAAAGCCGTAATTCAGATATTTTACACGTGAAAACCACGCCACGCGGCGCGCAATTAAGTATAATTAACTGTTTAATGAATAGCGCGGCTAATTTAAATAACGACGCCACTGCAACAACGCCGCGCTTCCGGTTATTATGAATCCGAACGCCGCGGCCGCTTTTTCTCCCATACTATCCTCGCGAAACCGCGCCGGAGCTTGGCATACGCATCCATATTACACGTATACACATGCATACACACACACCCACGCGCGAGAAAACATATTTGCATCACGCAACCGAGTTATCTCATTCGCCATAATACAAATTAATTTTTACAAATTTATAATTAACCGTCCAAAGTTTTCATTTAGGACCCTGTTGCGCTAACATCGTTAGCGATAATTAATTTCGGTTAATTAAATTCTCTATGCTAACGACGGCGAGTCATTAAGGCTTATTTAATTCGCGTCGTTGATATACGAATCGAGTTTTATACGACGTAATTCGAAGAGGAATAAGGCAACAAAAACGTCCAGATCGTTAAAAAATGTCGCAATAAGAATCTTCTCTTTACAAATTAAATCGCGACGAGTCATCTTGATCTCTGGAGCGCGTCGGAAGGTCAACGCGCTGATGAACGTTCGATATGTCGCGGCTCGCGAGCCCTACGTGTCTAAAGATAAGCGAGAATGGGAGAAACAGTCTTTTAATTATTCCGGACATGCGATTGTGCGAGCCACACTCGGTGGAGCGCCCCCGGAGCGTAACTGCACGTAGTATTATGTCAGCGGGCGAACGGAACCAACAGGATACTCGACACGCGGCCAGAATTCTTTTTTTTCCTCTCCTCTTTCCTCCTTCACCTTTACAGGTCGCGTTTTTAAGCCGTAGTTGGGCACGGGCTCGCCCGAACGGCCCGGGCGCCCGTTCCTTATTTGGCTACCGCGGCGAACAATACTTGCGAGTTCGATAACGAACGACTTTAATTCTCGGAACATCAGTAGTCTCTAACAACGGGAAAGCTCGCGCCGATTACGTCAATCCGAAAGTAGCATTTCCTACACGGCGATTACTTCCGTCTGGCGTGGTAATTCGTATATCCATCGAAAACAACATCGGTCTCGATTAGTTGCAAACCACGTTTTCGACGACTACGTGTGCGGAATCGAGGTTTCGCAGACTATGAAAAGCGAAAAAGTTTCCCTACAATTGCCAAGGAAAAGGAAAAAAAAAAAAAAAAACCACTTCCGTTACGAGTTCGGTGCGGCGGTGATCTAACATACTTTCCCAAGAATTAGGCGTGATTAGTTTCTAATTCGAGAAGATTAATATCAGACTTTATTGTTTTTAAGTTTCTAGAGGAATTAATTAGATTGCGGTGAAACTCTAATATGCAACTTTGTTGCATGAGGATTTTTATGTCTCTTTAAATCTGTGCACTGTTAAATATTAAAGGATAAAATTTAAACCAATACCTTAAGTAAAATAACATTTTTTTTGTTATTTTTAACTATCATGTCTGTCAAAATTTATTATTTTAACTCCATTTAGTTCAGTTGAACTAATATCGTTTTAATTAAATTGACGACATATTGAGTAAGAGCAGTGGCGATCTATAAGGATGGTTAAAAATAATTCTAATTGATTATAATTTGACACTACAAATTTAACAGTGTAAAGTTATACGAAACTCCGGAATTGATATCGGTTTCTTACTCGGTTTCTTACATACTACTTTGCGTTCCTTGAAGAATTCTGAACGACGTGCAAGCATCGTTTACTACACCGCAGTGTCACGATCGACCACGCTGTCTCCATCTATATGTTCCTGTCTTCTTCAACGCGGCGAAGGCCGACTGGTAAATCCGACAGTGGAAACTTTATCGAAAAATATAAATCCCTTTGAAGCGACTTTGATGAAACTTCGGACAACTTAACCGCCGATTAATTCAATCGGCACAACTGCGAGAGCTCTAGTTATATAATTCTAAGGTCATCTCCAAGTTTATCCTTCAAATGTCAAACAAAAAAATTAATAATTTTGTCTTCTATCAGTTAATAAAATATTTTAGGTATTATTTGAATTAATCGTCGCGTATAATTAGAGTTTAATTAAACTCACCCTTAGATATCTCTGTCGTTTAATTATTTAAAGGATTATCCAAACATTTCGTACGAAATAAAAAATGCTAAGTTTTTTATTTTCAGTAAATTTCTATATCTTTGCGGATAAAAAACATACGTATTACAATCACTTACCAATGGCTCGGGATATACTGAGGAGTCCGTTTACGCGCAACACACCCATACAATGGACGACAGCTCCTCCCATATTGTGAATCCGTTCGGTCTCGTCCTGAAGGGAAAAAGATCATGACGTATGTAGTAAATAGGGCACATCGTACCCGGCCTCGATAGATCTTGCACATGGCATTGTCAATAAAGAGTCGAGCGTAATATTCTATTTCGTGATAACGTATAGATGTCAAACGTGTCGATACTTCGATACTCTCGCTTGGATTACCTTGAATACCTTGGATTCATGTTTCACGCGTCGCGATTGTTCGCAATATAAAGGATTCCAAACGTCAGTGACAGCGTAAAATTACTGGTTTAAAAATAAAATCACTCCCTCTGCCTTTCCCTTCGAACATGACTGTCATCGGGACGCAGACCGACAGTGACAGAAGATTGCTGAATTTTCAAAATTACGAGGAATATTTAGATTCGCTAGTGATACCTGCAGATATCTGCTATCTCAGAAGCACCAAAACCGCACGCCAGTTGGCTGAGCTCGGTTACCGCTGCACGGGCGAGACTCTAAACGAAGAGAGCTTTTATCGTCGATTGCGAATCGTGAGAGATCTATTGTTTCCCGTTCACCGTCCTTACGTACTCACGTCGGAATTCGTGTCGCCTGCCGGAAGGTTAATGGAGGAGCTCGCCCTGCGCGAGCGAGCCAACAGATTAAGGATTTTATCGACCATCGTGTTTGTCCGCCGCTTCAGAACGAAATTGCAATTCGAGGAATCGGCTTACATCGATTTCAGCGATCGGCTCGAAACGGAAGATTGGCTGCCGTATTACCGAGGGGAAAGAAAATTATCGCCGCTCAAGCGAGATCTCGCGTACTATCACTGGAGAATGGGGAGGACGTGTTTGAACGAGACCCGTAATTACGTGCCGATCGTAGACCCCAAACGTGGCCTGTTGTTGAAAAATATTCACGACAGACAGGTGATCACGGTCGATCCGGTTGTCACGTCACCCGGTGTGCAGACGACGCGAGTTCGGATACATTGCCCGTTTTATGAGCACGTAATATTGTACGATCATGTGATTCAAAGCAAAATTGCACATGAAAATTAGAGATGTCAATATCATTCAACATTATTACACTGACTAGATTTTCACATCATAAATCTTCATGGCGTGCATCTTTTCTCGCCTCTTTTCCAAGGAAAGAAGACGATGGCAATAAACAAAGAGTATTTTGATAAACAAAAGTTAAGATTACAATCTCAAACCAGCGTAAAAAATGATTGTTAAGCTGATGGACTATCGATTTAGCCGATGAGCTAAATTAGTTTCATATCAAGAACGTTTGACTATAAATACGAATGCGAGTTTATTGCAAAAGCGGGATATTTCGAGGATTGAGCCAATTGGATATGCGATTTAAACATTAAGAATGTTTCAAAAACGAGAAATTATCTTACATTTTTCATTCCATTCTATTAAAAGAAAAAGGAAATCCAGGTTACTTACTTCTCTCATGGGTCGATGAGGATTCACCAATTGCTTCACGTTGCCGCGTGTAACCAGCGAAGCCATGGAGTCGCCAACCCAAGCAATGTACAATTTCTTATTTATCAGCAATGCGCAAACCACGGTGGTACCACCGTTTAATTTCTGTAACAAAACACAATGACTTGATAGAGTTATAGAGTTATGGCGAGAAGCGAGCAAAATAAAATACAAATTTCATTTAAGGAACGTTTACCTGTGTACTCGATTTCGCTATGAATTGTGCGTCGGTAGTTAGGAAAGCATCGCGCAACGCACGTTCCGGATCCGTAGGATAGTGCACACTCTCGACCAAATATTGATGTAGATGCGTCGCGCAATACGCCGCGGCATCCTGTCCGCCGTGGCCGTCGAATACGGCGTAGTAATCCACAATAGTGTCGTCCTGCAAAGTATAAATTAACGTATCAGCTCGTATATTAGCACGTCGACAATGTTAAATCGAAATTAATTTCGAATATAATTGCCAATAAATTTTGACGCGTAAATTAACACTTATTATTTCAGCGTTATATTAAATAATTAACTGAATAATTGCGAACGGCCAACGAGATCTCTACCTGAATATTAAACATGGTATTCAAATCGTGCAGGATCATGTGGCGGTCTTCCATTTTTCTTCTGGAATTTTTAATAGCACCCACTGTCACTTGCGGCGTCGACGAAGGTGGTGGCAGAAGGGCCAGTCTGCTGTTATCTAAATACCGCCTGCAGATCTCGTTCACCTCGTTCGTGACGGCTTGCATGAGCTTCAAAGGCGCGTACGCTGCGAAAAAGATCAATCCATCTTGAATATAAATTATCATTAATGTTAGAAATCAAAGTTGCCTACATCATCTTTTAAATGGACACTTTGTATTTCGCATTTTCTGTGAATATTTATTGAAGTATTACGAAATCTCATAAAAAAAACTTACTCTTTTCTTGCTGCCTCAGTCCGCAGATTTCCGGCTGTTTCTTGCATGTTGATTTGATCGCTTGTATCACGAGACGTGCGATGTAAGACTGTAAGCTTGGTGGGCAGTATCTGAAACCAACCGCATGCTTTTATGGTCTTTCTTACTTCCGAGAAATATCTACAAAGCGATACCAATTTCATAACGACAGAATGCAGAACGATTTGACCAGTTTGGAATCAACTTTTCTTAACAAAAAATACGAAGGTAATATCAGTAGCTTTTTGCGATAGTTTTATATTAGTTATAATTTATAATAGTTATATCCCATAAAGCGATACTGAAACCAATTTCGTAAGCATATGCTTTCAAAAACAAAATTTCTAAAATATACGAAAGTAATTTTTAGCAATAGTTTTTTTAATAGTTATAATTTATATCTATAAACGATTAAAAATAAAAAAAGTCCGCGAATTAAACCGTCAAAACAAGAATAAAAAAAATAAAATCTTATTGTACTTTTAATTACGAAAATTAAGTACGCAGGTCAGCGCTTTATCCTTTAATGAAAAATCTATCTTTTTCAGCTGCGTCATACACTTGAAATAAAATTAATAGATACTCGGAATTTTCTATAGAAGAAAAGAAGAAAAAAAGAAAAAATTATAAGGAAGTACATAGAGCGCAATTAAAAGGAGCGGACTTAAACATTCGTGGCGTACTCGGTTATCTCTCGTTTATCATATATCGTGTATATACAGTTTATCCTTTCTGTTTGGTACGTGATAACGACCGACGATGGGCGGTGATAGTCTCTCGTGACGGTTTCAGTTAAAGTAGATAAACGCGGCGATAGCGCGGAAGTAGTTTTCATCTCGCGACGATTCTCAGCCGTTTCGCGCCTTCAGAGAATTTGCGCCGGTTCGAGAGGGCAAATTTTTTACGTAATCCCACGTTTCCTGCTCGCGTGATGCACCGTGCAGCTATGCGTAACTTTTTTGCGCGTCGACTTTTTTCCACATCGCACACGGTATCCTCGCGACGACTTTGAGAGAACTCGAGTATCTTTGTGCGCAGCTTACAGCCGCGGTACAAATCGTGCTTATTGAAACTTGTAGGAGAAAATATTTCATAACTTTTTTTCATTTTTTTTAAATAGAATTATTATAAAATAAAAATAGACTATTGCAATAATGTTTACATAATATATATAGGGTATCTCAAAAATATCAATTTTTACTAGTTTCCGAGAAATCCTTGTTAGCCTTTATGTTTGTTAATGCTATAGTTAAAGAACTTGCGTTCGTTTCTTTTCCAAAATATAATCAATTTCTAGAGATAAGCGAAATGCACTAGCAGCTAGTTTTACTAAATTTTTTCCTCTCAACTATAGTGTTCATTTTTTCTAAATTTAATTTTGAACGCGAAACTTTCTGAGAATATATAAAGCAAATGTATTTTTAGAATGTGATAATGTCTAAATGGAAAGGGGCATGGTTAAATAATATTTTCATAAAGATCTCTAACTTGAAACAATATTAGAAGATATCTATGAAAGATTAGAAGATTCAAAATTATTAGCCCACATTTTTACTTTTTCATGCGTTATATAAATAGATCGTTCGACTTTCTTGTTCTTAATATTGTATAAAGTAGTACAATATCAGCTAGATATAATTATAGATATTTAATAAAAGAATCACAATTTTTAGGGCAACGGATCAATAGAGAGAAAGAAGAAAATCCGATTGGAATTGGCACGCCAAAATAAACAAGTCGCAGTCGGTGTCGCCGAATTATTTCACAAAATTCCCGTTTCTGTGATTGTTTTTCATAAAGTAATTAATCAAACATTTCGCGTTAAAAATAAGTTCCGCTTTATTTACTCGCAGACGTGAGTCTTATCGCGGGAAAGAGTCGCGAGTAAATAAACAGATTACGCGAGAGGCCTATAAGCCAAGGTGACATCGTATACGTATCTTCGAATCTGCTCGATATAAATATTAATGAATGAGTTTAAACTACTCTCCGCGTCTCTTTTCACTCCTAGAAATGAACGAAACATATATCAGTTAAGTTACTATCATAAATCTAACGTTTATAGAAATGAGTTATAATTTATAATAAAATACATAACATATATATCTCTCTCTCACTCTCTTTCTAGTATTGTATCTAGATATCCCGAGTTCGTTGCTCAAAGATCAAATTCATCTCGCGGATACAATACAGAAAGCGAGCGGAGTCTCACGCGTCGGACAAGCCCGCGAGGCTTTTGGCGTCTCGTCGGAATGTCAAACGCAAACGCACACGTACGCGCGCATACACACACACAACACACAGCAGACACACACGCACACGGGGACGCGCGCGTGACAGCGCATCACCACTCCCACGCGATGATGAATCCAAACAACAAAACGCGTTTGCTTACATTCGATTGAGGTACTGTAGAGTGAGGCTGATGATCTCACCGACGAGCTCGCTCTCGTTGACGTTGTAGACGCTCACCTTCACCGGCAGCTGATCGTCCGGGTTCACCCTGGCGACGAACTCGGCGAAGAATCGCGAGTACTCGCCGAGGTAGTCGCCGTCCGCCACGCAATCCGCGGCCATTGTCGCGTCCCTTAAACGCTCGTAAACGCACGTGCCGCGCGAGGAGGCAAACGCGCGACGCCACGCCGCGTCGCTTCGGTCCGCTCCGCACCCGCTCCGCTTTGCTACGACGTTTGCTACGTGCGCGCGCGCGCGTGCAACTACGCTACTCCGCGTCTCTCCGCGTTCGACGCGCACCGGCCAGCACCGGCCAACGTAACTGTCACGGCTGCTCGCGTAACGTATATCGACGCACGCGAGTCGATATCGCGCAACCGTCTGTCTCTCCGCAGTACTCCGCACCGTCGCCGAGTCGACTCCGAATCGGGGGGTACGCGGCACGCGACTCCGATACGCGATATTTATATATAAGTTATGTCATTCATTCAGCGGAGCGTCCCGCGTCGCGCACACCGTCTCGTACACTCGGCCGACCACTACGGACGCGCGCGGGAGCGGGACATACTTCGGTTAACTTCGAAGGGCGCGTATGTGTGTGCTGTGCACTCGCGTACGCACGCATGTACGCGCGTATGTGGAACGGAAAGAACGAGCGGCGTAGTTACAAGGAGAGACGGAGAGGGGAGGACTGAGGAGGAAGCGTGAGAAAGGGGAGGGTGGAAGGGACGCGCGCCGCGACGTTCGAAACCCTGGGCGTTCCACTTGCTCGCGCCTCCGTTTTTTTTCCCATCGACGAGTCGACGAGGATCGACTCACCGCGGTGAAGACGCGCCAAGAGATCACCTGCGGTCGACGCGTTCCCCCGGCGACCGCGAATGTCCGACTTCCGCGACCTTTACCGACGCAACGATCCCGCGTCGCGTCGTTCCGCTCGCGAGATTCTGCGCCTCGCCTCGCGGCAGTCGCGGCCACACGACGGTTTCAAGGTGGACAAATTTCGCGCACGCGCCTCGTCGCGATAAGGAGATCTCGCTTACTTTGCGGGAATAAATTAAAAAATGATTAAAAGAACCTACATTGAAATTCATCACCAAGTTTCTATCCTTCCTTAGTGAACAAAATTCTTATAATTTTCTCAGAAATTTTCTATAAGAATTTCTTATTACATTTATGAAAAATTCTGAAAAAAAATATGTCAAATTTTTTATAACTTTTAGAAATAGTTGGATGAGGATTTTTGGAATATTTCAGTATCTGTATGCCTGAAAATTTCTAATAAATTCTCATATTTATTCACATTTCTAAATCTGGAGTATTTCATGATTTTGTGAGTTTTTCTGAAAAACGTTCCAATTCATATAAAAAAAATCTGAGAAAGAGTCTTAAAGTTTTGACAAGAGAAGTCTTAAAATTTCAATAGTAGAAATATGTCTGCACTGTCGGACTGGATCTTTAGCCGGTATTCATAATCAGATCTTATTTCAAGACCGTCTTAAGTAATATCTTAAGATGCTAATACGGCTCTGTGATTGGTTAATGACATCTTAAGATTGTACTTAAGATGGTCTTAAATACAAGAACCGACTATGAATACCGACCTTTGTGTTTAATAATATTTTTGCATACGTATTTTTCAGTTCAGCAAACTGCGCGCCGAATGATGTCGATTGAAACGCGTTCTCAAATTAAAGCCAACAATAGTATACGTAATTAAATTGATAAGGGGGGGGGGTGGAAACAGATGCTTTCAGCATCTGTCGGTGCTTTTGCAATCGACCGTTTCGAGCCGTTCGTCGCACTTTGCGATAAGATATCTGATGTTATGTCAGGCTTTCGAATTTACTCACAGGCTGTAAAACTTTACATGCATACAATTAGAGAAAAAAACGCCATTTACGATCAGAACTCTTGATAGTCCGATAATATTGTAACAATTTTGTTCACTTTTTCCAAACTCTCTCTAAATAAACTGCGCGCCGATTTTTTGTCGTTAAAATATAGTTCCTAGTTGGAACAGTAAGTCTATATACTTGAATCGATGATCGAATTTAAATTCTTATGCTAATAAGTATCCTTATTAAATCACTCTAAAGAATTATAAAATTCATACAACATTATTATCAGACTACCGAGATTCAGTCCTGATCGTAAACAGCAGTTTTTTTTCTCTCTAATTGATTATGTATATCTAAAATCTTGTTTCACTTAATATTATTATTGTTTGCATACATATATCATTGTACACATGTGACTCGGCTTAAATAATAAATACGTATATGTACACGGACTACACCTAATCCTAATAGGAGATCCGCTGTTATAATATAGTGCATCTCGTGTCAAGGGAGGATACCTCTGCGCCCTGTTTCATTTCCTGGCTTCGTATGTGCAGATACGAGTTCTCGAACTCCTTTTGCATCCATTCGGGCAGAGGGATGTTCCAGTTCTCTGGCGGCTTCTCCCTCTTCTCCCAGACGTTGTTCTGATAATGCGCGTGCAATCGTTTCGCTCTGCGTTCCTTCTCGCTCCTGATCAACTCGTCCTGCAATGATTTCGTTCCGGTATTACATCGCGTTACATTCAGACGCGTCATCGCCGAGACACGCGTAGCAACCTGCGTACATATGCCTCTTCCGATTTGTACTTTTGCCATTGATAGCAGTTGTGATAATCGGTCTTCCATTGATCGCAGTCGATCATCTCGCCGAAAATGAAGTACTGATGAAAACGACCTCTGATACTTGTGCACTCGTCATGCTCGTCCTTGTACACCATACAGGGTCTCACCTGACGAAAGAAAAAATATAAAATTGACAAAATATACGATGGAAATTATGGAAAAATGATATGAACGGAAATGAAACAATCATATACCATCCACTCGTACTCGCGAGGCGGTTTCTCTTCTTTCGCTTCGCCCATATTCACCAAAATTGAATGTCAGTCTTGAGCTCTTTTAGAAAAATAAAATCGCCTATTTGCTCGCCGGACGCGTGTCTGACACGCAGCACGAGTGTTAAATAACGATGTTAGGTTAGGTATAGGTTAGGTCAGACATGCGTCAATACAAGTGCGGCTTCAACCATTGTTGCGGTTTATTTGAAATATGAAAAGAAGTTCTGAGTATCTATAATTCTTGAAATCGTTCGTTATGAAAAGAATTCGTTTATGAACAAAAATGGGAACTCAATTAACGCACCTTTTCGTTCATAAACGTATGTATTCGTACTTTTCGTTTCATAACAATTAATTTCAAGAATAGGTACCCTGGAACGAATTTTATATTTGTTTCCAACATGTATAAATTCTATATTTTCAATTCACGTTTGCCTGCTGATTGATAACTTTTTAAATAATAAATAGCAGTAAATTAGAGCATTGCCAATCAAATTTTTTTAAAATGTTCTCAAGCCCTTCTTTTAAAAAAATTAAAAAAATTTAAAAAATCCAACTTTGAATGCGAATAATGCGACGAAGGCGGTTCATGTAACTTGTATAACTTATTATCTAATATTCGACTTTTCTCTGTATCTATGTTTAATTTACGTGACTTTGATCAAACTCCAATTAATTTAATCAACGATTAACTTTCTAATTTGTATTATTTTGTGAAGACAACGATTCTGCCATGCCGGTTCAATCGATCGATCAGGATAACTGGAATTTGATCGAAGTCGAAGATATTTCACGCGAACATTCGGTTGGTATATCTTTGTTAGTATAAAATATAATACTTACTGTTCAATAATTCTGCATTTAAATAGCAAAGAACAAAAATATATTAACTCCGAGTTAATAATTAAAAATAAAAGAACGGAGGTCAAAGAATTAATCTTCTTCGCGCCGCTAACTGAAGTGCGCTCCGATTGGTTCGATTTACGTCCAGTCGATTATTTCTGGGGAAATTGGTCGCGCGCCACGAGTCACTACTGTTCGCAAGTGTACGTATAAAATTAAATTCCCTAGGTCTGCAAAGCCGAGTGACAATAGCGAAAATCGAAAAACACTTCGGGGCTCGGCTCCGGCTCCGGCTCCGGCTGTCGAAGAAGCGGCGGTGGCGGTGAAGAGGTTCTCGGGTCTCTGTCACTTTCCTAACCTCTTCGCTGCTTGCGCGCGGATGTCCCGGTATCTCTGGTGCCGTGTAACTGGTGTGATAATCAATTACCGGTGATTTAATCGCGCGCGAACAATAACATGATGTCGCGGTCAGTGCGCGCGGAGACTCGTAGTCGTGCCAAGGATGACATTAAACGTGTGATGCAGGTAGTTGATAAAGTTCGCCATTGGTAAGTTTTCCTGTGTCGTGTTGGAGATCGAAGGGAGAGAAAAAGGCGGACGAGGAGAATCGCCGGGTCTCGTGTGTTTGTCGCTTATTTCTCGGAAGATAATCACGGATCGTAAAAGTGTAACAAGTGCTTTTGGTTTTGTTTCATTGTCGAAGGGCGTGCTCCCAAAGATACTAATGAAAGACTGCAAGGCGGTTCACTAATGTTCATAGTTGAAATACCCCGTTTCGAATATAAAATTATGTGGAAACTGCTCGATAAAAGCTTTTAACTTGCTTAAAAATAAGCGTTTGAATGAGAACGCGATCAGTTCGGTTGCTGATTTCATAGCTGGAGCTCTAGACGTCTTTAGATAGAGTGATAAAGTTTGTCACAGCAACGAGGACAAACGTATAATAATATATAGTTTTGTTACGAAAAATAAAATATTTTTCTTTCACATTTTATTGCATAAGAGATGTTTTTGCTCCTATATTTTACTAAAATCGTTATTTATATGAAAACAAGTAACAGAATGTATATATACAATTGCAGGGAAAAGAAATGGGTTACAATAGGAGAAACAACTATGAAAATATATAAATGGGTTCCAATCTCGACACTCGATCAGGTATTTCACGCAAGAACATAATTTATGCTGATCAAAATCGACCAAAGCAGATAATTGTATAAATACAGAACAAATGTTTTAATTTATAGAAGAAAAAAGGAAAGACAGTTTCCGACAAGGAAAATGGTTTACCAAGAAAAGGAGGGATAGAGTCGTCAAATTCTAATTTTGGACTTACAGAAGATTCCAATACATGTGAGTGTTTGGCGTTGATGATTTGTGATGGCGTTATTGTTGTGGATTAACAAAATACGGATTTTCTGACACGCTAGGTTTCTCCACTGTTAGCGATTCCCAAGGACTTACAGATTTCTCTGCACACCTGGGCTTTTCGGAGGACTCCAATTCTCAAAATAGTGAACCTGCACCCAAGAGATTGAAGACTGACTAACGACCTACAATCAGCATCACCGCCAACATATAGGGACACATTTAGGAATCTATCTCTTTCGTGAATGAATTTGCACTTGATAATTTTACGTTAAGTCGTACCTCTCAATAATGGATGAAAAGATTTTGCAAGAAAAGATTTTCTTTTCTGTTTCATCCAAATTTAGTGAGATATAGATAATATATATAAATATATGAATATATATACAAAATATATACTTATATAATTACAAATAGTATCAATCCTATGAAACGTTTTGAATTATGTATAACGGAGTTTATTTTTTTACATATGAATTTATTACGAATTTCCTCATTGAATTTAGAAACTAGAAACAATGATCGGCTAATTGACTAGAATAAAATCAGGCGAGTGATCAATCCGTTTATGTATGTATGTATATTATTTTTACACTAAATTTTTAAATCTTGAATATATCGCTTATAAAATTATTGTATGCATAGGGTGAAACTTGGAATCGAACTTGGGATCTGTCGACTACGAATCAATCGCTCCTACACAGAATAACGCATCACCCTAGTTCATCTCGTTTATTAAATTCTGGTTTCTGTATAATCCTTTCAGATGTGATACGTAACTCTGTAGGAACAGTCGATTCGTCGGCAGGACCCTGATCCATAAACGTCTCGGACTATAAGAAATTGATTAAAGAATTAAAGTTTTGAGTGAAAGAGTATGAGACGATTGTAACCCATTTCGGGAACAATAAAGTACATATGTACGTTATACGTAACCCTTCAAAAATTCGAGGGTATGATAGACTTGAAAAGTTGAAAAAGGCTTGATAATAGCCTTTGAAAGAAAAAGCTTGCTAATGGCGGATTGTACATTCGCCACGATTGTGTAATAACATTACAGTATTATTTTCTTTCAAAACTATATTTTTCTCGCTATAACGATATATGGTTGTATCAAGGATTATCCTTGCAAAATAATCAATCGGTATTATAATTAATTTTGCAATAAGTCAAGTGCTGAAAAAACACGTACATACATATACATATATTTTACCTTCAAACATAGTTCACGCTTCTGATAGTCTATAAATATCATTGTATATATCTCAAATATCATTTTTTTCTATTGATACTATAGGAGAACTTGCATTCCTGTGCGTTACGTTATAGCACCGTGACATGTACAAAATAAGCTTGGGCTCATACGAATAAAATAGTTGAATGACGTCTTAATCAGTGCATACTATACATCGCTTATATGAAAACATTACGATACATTTGTAGTATGTTTGTATAAAGATATAAAAATTAGTAAGAATATCTTTAGACGCAAAGGTATTCTCGCTAATTGTTATAGCAAGTATTTCAAAATATAAGAAAGTGCGTGTGATTTGTAGAAATATCTAATTTATAATATTTCCACTGAAATTATTTAATGAAACATCAAGCCAAAATTTCATCACATAAGTCGCATAATGTTTGAGGAATATTCTTCATTTTGAGATTTTTAAGATAAAAATATATGTATATTTATGGTTTTCATTTTTACAAAAAATGATGTACATTTAATATTAATTTAAAATATTTAAAAATTCGTATATATATATATATAACATGTATAAAAAATTTCATTTGATTAAATATTTTACTTGAGCACTATTACCAGGGCAATATTTTTCCGTCATACTGCACGAAACAACCGGTTTGTTTTTCTGTCAACGAGTTCAAGGTATCCAGAATGCAACCGACGCTCGTGGCGACGTCCATCGGAGCGTTGCTGCCGCCTAGATCGGTGCGTACCCATCCAGGATGCAAACACGCCACTAAAATTCCATCTGCTTTCAGATCGATGCTCATCGATTTTGTCGCCGCGTTAAGTGCCGCCTGTTTCCCAAATGAGATTAGATAAGATATTTTGCAAAGTTATTTCAAGTGCTTAATGATGTAAGATACATATTGATTAATTCCAGAGTGTAATGTAGGGGTTTCACATTCTTTAAAAGTTAATTACATTTTCAAGTTAATACGTAATAAGTAATAACAGCGCTCTACAAATTTTATTAAACGCAATTATGTATTTCAATAGAATGCACATCTTGAGCTTAAAGTTTTACCTTGCTGCATCTATAAGGATAAAAACCACCGTCGTTATTTTCAGCAATACTGCCCAGGATAGACGTCATATTGATAACCGCTGCTTTTCTCACGCTTAATCCCGCTTTATCCTCGGAATTTTTCGCGGCCGTCTTCAGCAACGGCAGGAAAGCCTTGAATCAATTGTTTCCTCAGTTACGAATCGACGCAATTCGTCAATGTAAAATTCATAAATGTAAAATGATTGTAGGCGTACTTTTGTCAGCATAATCGGTGCCACGGTGTTTATGAGAAAACCGTCTGTGATCTGCTGCTTCTTCATGAGGCCGAGACGCGTGAATTTACTGGAAATACCAGCGTTGTTGAACAGAACGTTGAGACCAGCGCCATTTACCCTTTCGTTGACCGTGTCCACGACCCTCGCGTAGCTATTCGTGTTTGTTAAATCTGGGAAAAGACAATGTAAAGTTATTTCACGAACAATATCGATGTTAGAACTCGCTACATGTACGTTTGTGAAAAGTTCAAGTTTTGTTTTACCTTGCGCGATAAATTTTTGATAAACCTGGTTATCTTGTATTATGCACAAGCATTTGTCAGAACATATGTCATGTATCAATGAGGATTTACTGACATAATGGCCTGACACAGCACTTCTTATATCTCCATTAGATTGTAATAAAATAAAAAAAATTCTACTACTTATTACTTCGATTTTACATTATATAATAAAGTTAAATATAATTCATAATTAGTTTATAATAAAATTAGAGAGAGAAAACATATTGCCACTTTGACATTACATTAATTAATTAAGTTTCATAATCTAAAGACTTCGGAAAAATTTGTGTCACAGGAACTTCAAAGTAATAAATTTTGCTACAAGCTTGGTCCGATAAATATGCGTTAAATTTTTTTTTAAAGAAAATTTCAATCAAATTATCCTTAATATTTATTTCATCTTAGGCTGAGTTCGTCTTGACGCTTTCAGCGCTGTAAGCACCATTCTGCCTTCGTTGCACAAACGAATATCAAACGAAGATAGAGCGATGCTTTCAGCGCTGAAAGCGTAAAAAAAAACGCGACTCCATAATATCTATAAGATAGACAAAGAAACAAATGACAAAAACGTGTCCGTATCTTGCGATATTTTTTAAGATTTCCGGACTGCTAAAGTGCTAGTCACGTCGCAAGAATTGTTAACTTTGGCACAATGCTAAGCGCAAAAGATGGCAAATAGTGTAAGGGAATTAAAATATTTTGAAGAATGAGGCAATTTCGCGACTGTCTTTATATTTATTTAAAAAATAAGTATATGATTCATATCGCTGTTTTGTTGAACGCTTTATATCGATTTGCGAGGTATTATACATGCGAGACGTGACGTAGAGATATTTCTGTTATGCGTTAATTCGACTTTCTAAGTAATGCGATAATTCTCATTATCGTCATATTCTTCATTATCGCATTTCAACGAATCACCGCATATCACGCGCCGATAAAGAGTGAAAATTGATTTCTTTATCTCGCGCGCAAGAAGAAAGGATCCATCTTTAACGTTAGAGAACTCTAGAGTCAGGTGTTATCAGATAGCACGTGTTATCGATCAGCACCGACTCGGCAAAATCGTGTTGTTTTTTTTTCCTACGATAGGAACATTCGCGACGTGTTCCGCTCTGGACGTTTTAGATCGTATAATTTCAATTTTTCCTCGTCTCGGGATCTGCCCGGTGCACGGTCGCGGATATGAAAGCACGCAAACTGAATAAGGCGAAAGCGTGGTTGATCTGTTGCGAAAAATCGCAAACCGTCGATTCTGATTCGAGTGATCGAGAAACTGAGGAGCACAAAGCGCGGAATAAAGTGGAGAGGCTGGTGGGCAGCAGGGAAAAGAACAAAACGGAGGGCAATGTGGTGAATAGGGGCGAAACGCAGAGTAATATTGAGATGACTGAAGTGGTGAGGGTAAACAGTGAGATAGAAGATAAAACGGAGAACAAGGTGGAGGACGACGTCGAGAATAAAGTGGAGAACAAAGTGGAAAATCAAATAGATAAGACGGAAAATAAATTGGAGACCAAAACGGAGGATGACATTGAGAATAAGATGGAAAACAAAGTGGAGAATCGGGTAGA